TACCCCAGGAAAGCAATCATCATAATTTCCACTGGAATCAATTTTCATTTTGCTCTTTATTTTGTATCATTATCTGCTATTCATTTACTTACCAGTGTTTGTGGATGAAGCAACAGGTTCCTTCTCCCTTATCCATGCCTCCTCATCTTCAACATCATGAAGGAATCGTTTAAGTCTCTCAGCATCCTGGAGCTTTGCTTTGCGAGCTAAGAGAGGAGCCTGGTGAGGAAGATGGGAGGTAATGTTAAGTACTTCCTGAGAAAAGGACATCAGATGATCTAGTTTTGTAAATATAAAATTTAAAACAAATTCTGGGGTAAATCTTGGTCTATCATGGCTATCAGCTACTGAATTTCCTTTTGGCAATACTGTGTAGTAAAAACATTTGGTCATGGAGTCTAACATTTTGGATGATAGTACTGTAGTCCTGAGATGACTGTTGTCTCTAGTAGTGACTGTTGTCAGGAGACTCACTGGAGTCAAGCTTGGAGCACTGATTCTTATCATCTTGTATTAATATTATTAATAAAGGCTACAAGTTGGACATTTCCCTGAGCCACTCAATCACACACACTTCATTATCATTATCACCTGTAGCTGTTGGTATCGGCTATTTAAAACCTCCTTCTTTTCTTTGATGGAAGGAGCATCAAAGTGGTCAGCCTCCGCAAATAAATCAGCTTGTGCATTAACAACCTCAATCTTTTCCTGAGTAACAACACAACAGAATATATAATGAAAAATTGAACAACTCACTTTCATTTTTGAAACAGTTTACATTTATCTTAGAGATGTTACCCTAGCTTTCTATAACTATTAGCCATATTTTCAAATGTCCTGAATCAATGCTAAAAGAGACAGTCGCTACAAATACAGTCCTTGTCATTTGAAGAGAAAGCATCAAGGTGAAGATATTACATGGTTGCATCAGTGATAAAATATTCATAAAAACAGATAGAACAATTCAAATGTGATGACAGGTGGTCTTCACAAAATCAGCCTAGACACAGTACAGGCTCTAAATCAAACCACGATTTTACACAAGCAGAGGACCTCAAGGATTCTCTTTGAGAAGGTTGATATAATGAAATAAATGTCCTTCCACTAAAGGTTCAGCTAAATTGGAGATGGCTTAGAAAGTGGTACATTAAACAACAGCTTCACTTTGGTTAAATAACCAGCCTAGCCTTTATATTTGATTTTACTTACTGCACGGGCTATGACATCAGCCTCTATCATGGCATGTTTCTTTTGGAGGTTTTGCACACTTGTCAGATCCTGTAATTAAAAGCAACTTTTTTTTAGAATTTCTCATAATCATATCCAGATAGAGAAACCAAAGAACTACTAGGATTTAAGTACAGGTATGGGTTTTATTATTTTTTTCAAAATAACATACCTTTCCTACATCCTCAAGAGCAAGCAAGTTTTCAACTTCAGTGAACCACAACTCAACATCTTCGGCACCTCTGCATAATAACAAGTTCATAACATATCAAAATGCATTCAATAACATTGATGTCACAAGACATTTCTCAGAGTGTGATGATAGAGTAGTTATTGTTCTGCACATCTGTGAGGACTTAACATCTAGGTTAATATAACAAGAAAAGTCTTGAAATACATGTAAACGTAGTATTAAGGAAAAGTAGATCACATGTTTTGTGTCACTTCTCACCGGTTGAACTGCTGTTGCTGTGCTGCTTCTTTCAATTTCAACCCTGAATTCCAAATAAGAGGAAAAAACACAATTAGCCCTAAAGCAGAAGCAAAAATTTGCTTATGCAGTTTACACTTCATTTAATATCCCCACAAGCTACCATATACATTCCAGTATAATTGTTTAATTGTTTTTGTAAAGAGTTATTTCCAGTCCTGAAACTCTAGTTGAAAATGCAAAGGGTTTGAAAAAATGCCTCAATCAACACTTCGCAAGTGTAATTTTCTACTTTATGTGTACAGGTATGCTTCACCACTCTCCAAATTGTAACCGTTGGACCTGTAAGGATATCTGTAATGTCTTGAATCAAAAATGTTTTATAAGTCACATGTAAAGTACCTTTATCGTTTGATCTCTCAAACAGATAGGCCCACAACTTATGCAGTTCATCAAGTCTCTCTCTGATTTGATCTGAGGCATAGTGTTCATCTCCAATCAGTTGTTCACCAGTGTTGTCAACTGCATCAAGCCGGCTTTGATTAGCATTCAACTCAGCCTCAAATGCTTGGTGCTTCTGGATCTTTCCTTGCAGATTGGTTGGATCCTAAAGATTTCAAAAGTGGTATTTTGTTACAAACAATAACTTACAGTAGTATTGTGTATGGATTGCAGTAGTAACATTTGAGATTTGCTCATATTTTATAAAATTCTTCCAAAAGCAATCAAGGACTTTTTCCTTGATTAAATAGCACCATATCAACACTTAAAAGGTTGGAAGGACTCTTGAAAGTTAAGACCCAATCTAGAATCTGTGGAACTGTCTTGTATTCCCTCAACCATGTTACCTTTAAATGAAGATGTGCTGACATGCCAAAGGCCTCAAAAGCTTAACTGTAGCCTTGTTATACAAGTAGTTATAGGTAGAGCCAGATATTGGGTAATCCTAATGTTTTTGTGTGAGCAAAAATACTTTTTCTCACCTTGTAAGATTCATCACTGGCAATCTTCAGCTTTTCTGTAATCCAGCTTTTTACTTCATCACAGTCTCTCTCAAACTGCTGCAGTTTACGAGATTCCTCAAGTTTCAACCTGCGCGCCTTGGACAACTCCCCAATGTTATTACGCCTTTCCATTATACCATCTCTTCTCTCCCGCACCTCATCTGAGGCATAGTGATTGCTGTCAACAAGGCGGTTTGCATACTCGTCAATACTCTGAAAGATGGAGGAACAAAGGAGAGATGACATACTGGATAAACTCATCACTTGCACAAATTAGTAATTTCTTGTATATTAAAATATCGTGTAGTCCAGAAGTTTTTCCTATGGTATGTGTTTTAAATAAATGGTGATTTGGAAAAAAGTCTGAGTTCTCCATGAAGATTAAAACCTCTGCGATGCTCTCCTGACTACAATGAGCTTCAGAGGCCTCAAAGACAAGTCAGGCTACATGTATGTACAAAGCTCTCGTCCCTGTGTGTTATTACCTAGTTAAGGTACAGTAAAATCCTTGGTGAAGTTCACGAGAAATGTTAACGGCTGTAATGTACTCACATTGATCTTCTCTGCTTGGGCAGCAAAAGATTTGTCAAAGTCTTCATGCTTCCTGATCAGAGCTTCTACTCCATCGAGAGAATCGCCAAGGTTATCATCAGCAAGGAAGGCCTGTTAAAAATGTTCAGTAAATAAAAACAACTTCCACAACATATATTTAGTGATACATAAGGAACAAAACAAAACATCTATGTATTTTTGGTACAACTTCATCTTCATTCTATATCAGTGTTGAAATGTTCTAGGATCAGAAATACAATTCCTAAGCATTTTCCTTGTTGAAGACACAATAAAACTGTATTTTGGTGAATCTTGCGAAGACATCAATATACTGCTGGTAACCGAATAGTTAACACAAATGTTTTTTCTTATGGAAAGTGAAGATGACAACATCACTGAATTTAGCTCTGTAATGAAACGAGTTAAGGCTCACAATGCCCTGGTATTAACAGGCACATTTATAATATCTGTTATGAGTAAACTCAATTGATGTTGCAGGTTAAAGCCACAGATTAAATTACAAACAGGTACACTGTGCCTGCTTCAGAAGAAATGATCAATCAAGGTCTCGTGAAGACCAGAATAATCATTTTCAGGGTCAAATGATATACCACAAGTTCAGACAAATGTATTCCAACCTCTTGTTTAGACATAGTGGCATCTGCATGCTCACAATCCCGATTAAAAAGCTGCAGCTCCATACACTGCTCAAACTGCACACGTCTCCTCTCCCACAGCTCCAACAGTTCCATTTTCTCAGTCTCCAGACTGGCAAGCTAAAGGGAGAGCAAAGTTAAATGTTTGGAATAAACACCTGCTTGCCTATTAAACATTTGCACCGTAACATCAAAAAGCATATTCTTCATACTGTTCTACGTGCATTTCATAAGGAGAAAGGCTAACAAAAGCTAAAAGCTAACAAGGAGAATGTGTTTAACAATTAAGTAATTAAACATTTCCTTTATTCTTGCGACATAATGTGTGATTCAGGGGTGATATTGTAAGGAGAAATTAGATGCAAGTCACTCTTAGAGGTCAAAGAGTTAACCACTTGGAGTAAACACTTTCTTGCCAATTAACCCTTTCACTCCCAAGATCTAATTAGTAGTTCTCCTTACTATCTTTCATACAATTCTTATGATGTTAGTTCAGAGAATTTGGTATTAGATCAACTAATAATCCCATGGTTGACATTCTTCTCTATTCTCATCACCTGCCTGCTATATATGGTATTGATATTGTAAGGAGAAATTCTGTCTTGGTCACTTGTGGGAGTGAAAGGCTTAATGTCAGCTTAAAATTAAAGGATAATTAAAACAATTTAGGTCATAACCACATCAGGTGTCCTTCAGGGCATTACAAAGATATATTAACTTTTTTTAAATATTATTGGTAGGAGATTGCTTGTTTGTCTCATGACAGAGTCACTTTTGATGTAGACTGTGACATTTCGACTGCAATACTGCTAGTCTTCATCAGGCAATGAGGTTGATAGACACGTAAACTATCAACCTTATTGCCTGATGAAGACTAGCAGTATTGCTGTCAAAATGTCACCATCTACAACAAAGTGACTCTATCATGACACAAACAAACAAAGTTCATCTCCTATCTTACACCACCATCAACAATAAGCACATATTTTATTACATTATAATATTATTGTTGTTGAACACATACACTGCTAAAAGTGTGGAAAAAAAAAACAGGAAAACATTTTATTAAGTACCTTTTCTTTGATCTCATCAGTAGCATAATGATTGGAATTGACAAGTTCTTCTCCATCATCGGCAAACTTCTTAAATCCATCCTCTGATGCATCAATATAACCCTAATGGATACAAGGAAAGAATTGCATGTTAACAAGAAGACCTCAGGAAAAAATGTGCCAAGGGTAAAAATGACATCCACCTTATGTTCCTGATGACGTTCCAGAAGACTTTCTGCACTAGCTACATCTTTTGCCAGTTCATCACTTTGGATCAAGACTTTCATTTCATTTATAAAAGAAATGTGGTCCCTAGAATCAAATGAAAAAATCATGGGGTGAAAATACAGGTAGTTGTTTGAAGAAAAGTAAGAACAAATATACTGGTGTGAGTCAGCTGGAAAAACATGCCTTCCATTGATAATAAAATTATCAGTCTAAGATATGGTGCAGTCAGAACAGCCTTTGTCAACTGAACAGCCTTTGCTTTACATTTTCCTTTCAAAACAGCTTGCATTTTCGTAAGAGAGGTCCTGTTGGCCTGATCACATGGATGAAAGCTGAAAGGTTACACCATGCATGTATGAACACTGCAACCACACGAGAATCTCAGGTTGGTTGTTGAGAAATTTAGATAGTTTTTCCTTGACAACAGAAAGCACATTTAATTTCTCTTACAAAACTATTCCAGCTGGCTGTTATTGAACCTAAATGTACATGCAGCAGACCACAATGTACAAAAGCAAAGTCATAGTGATTGAAAAACTCTTAATGCCTCTCACCTGTAGTCACTGATGAACCTTTGCAGACGATAAGAATCCTCCAACCTTGCTTTTCGCACCCCAGACTGAAAGATACCATATAAACATGTATGACAATTAGTTCAAAGGGATCCTTCATACTGCATAAATAATAAACATACAATAAATGTGTAACTGAGAATAGCATTTTAATTGTATAAATAGGATACCTAGGGTGGTAAATTTTGAGCTTGGTAATGAAAAAGCAAAGGACATTTTTTATCTTGACATGAATGCGGGACAAAGGAAAACAATTCAAAGACCCCAAAAGGAATAAAACCTTGATCCTTCAGATTTCACCCTCAGATTCTTGGGTAGTGAGCTCCAGTATAAAGACTTTGAACAGCACCTTCTCCTTAAGATTTCCCCAGGCAGTTACAATTTCATCTTGCTTAGCAGCTATCTCATCTGCACTTTCTGGATATGCCTCTTGCAGCTGTGCAGATTCTGAACCCAGGGCAGTGACCTAGAAAAGGAGTATTCAGGAGTCAGTTGAATCAGAAATTATTAACCTCAGTCTTATTGCCTGAGCAAGGGAAGAGGACTGTTGATGCTAACAGTGACTGATAGAGCTAAAATCTGTGTTAAAGTCTTTATCAGAGACAAGAGAAGGGTAATAAGTCTCTCTAGCATTTTAAGATTGGTTTGCAAAAACTGATTGCTATGTTTTGTCAAAATGTGATTGGCTTTAAAACACAAGTTATGTTTTCTAGTTATGATTGGTCAGTTTTGATATCTGAATACAGTCAAATCTGGTTTTTTTTGTGGATTATATCTGTTTAAATAAGTAAAATATAAAAATCAGCTTTCTGAGGAAAATAGGAGTTACCTTATCTTCCACTGCAGCCAAATCTCTTTCTAGAGCTTCATGCTTGCGTAACAGAGCATTGACACTGGCCAGATCTTTTCCATAATCATCTGATGACAGAACTTTGTCTTTCTCATTGATCCAATTCTTGGTCTCATCAGCATCACTGGTTAAAATAGATTTAAGTTACAGCTTCAGTGTTATGGTTCGTGTGCATACATGTACAGCTGATGTAAGACAATATAAGCTGCACTTTTAATTTAATTGTTTACAATGAAAATAGTAATAAAAGTGGTAGTTCAGAGACTCAGTTACAGTTGAGGCAGATCTTGTAGCGCTAAAAAGGAGTTTCTTGCAAAGTCAGATTCTATACCTTGGCTTGCATTAACAAGGTGCTAAGTGGACATCAAGGACTCAAGAATTCTCTGACCAATGTATAAAAAATCTCCATCTTTGTTTTTATAACCTGAGCTACATGTAAATTTCATTCTGACCAGTTGAAACTTTTTCCTGTTACCTTAAACTTTCCTTCTGCCATAACCGTTTTTGACATAAACCCTATTTTACGATTCAAAAAAGCAATGCTACAAGCTTATGTAGCACAAAAGTAGCCTGCTCCAGTAAGAGCAAAGCAAAAGTAGTATTACCAAGAATAACATGGCTTCTTACCGATAGAAGCTGTGTATTTGCTGGGCACCAGCCAGTCTCTTCTGACGTTTGAGTGCCAGCATCTTCAGCCTTTCCCAAGCTTCATTAACTTCCTAAAATTAAAAAAACCAGTAACTTAACATGTATTAAAGCCTCGTAAATTGAAGGCATGTCTATTAAAGGGCTAGCATGAAAGGCTGCTATTATTAAGTTTTTCATGTACAAGCAGAAAGTTTGATTTAAGTTGAGGATATGTACCTAAAAGCAGTGCCTTCAAGGGTATAGGCACTATTAACAGACACATTCAATATTTGAAGGAGGGAACTAAATTGAACAATAACAGAAATACAACATTCCAGGTACCCAATCCTGAAAGGGCACAATGTATGTCCACTGAACATGTTGACAACCTGAACAAACTTGCTTAACTTCAAAAAACAGAGAAGAGTATGTGATTTCCTTTTTGCTTGTTCTGGAAAAAGTCACCCTGTGCAGACAATCCTACAAGGATTTATCATCACATTGCATGCTCCTCTGATAGAGCTATAAAATAAGTTCTCCTTGAATCATTAATACCTGATTCAAGCTTATTTTATCCAGCTAAGCTTTAACTTCTTACCGCTTGCTTTGTACTGATCAGTTCTATATCTGGATGACCCTCATCTCCAAGTTGATGTGCAAGCTCATTGATGTATGTGACCCTTGATTCATTTGCCTGAATATCCTTCAAGAAGTCCTCAAATTTCTTCTGAAGAACTTCCACATGTTCCAAATCTCTTCCTACTTCTTCAGAAGTGGCAATTGCTTCCTGAATAATAAACAAAACAATAACAATTTTACTAACAGACTTTTCAATGAAACTGAAAATCCATGGAAAATGCAGAAACCCTACATTTTTCAAAAAACAACTTTACTTAAGTATAAAATATTGTGCATACTTTTAGTACTGAATAATATACATGTACTTTTTTTTTAGTTTGCTACATTTACATCCACAAGGAGAAAAGTTGAAATGAAAATGTTTCTTATTACCAAGGTTGGAATGACAATATTACTGATGCAAAGATATCTGCAATGAGCATTTAAAATATCTACAGGTATATTTCAGGACTCACTTTTTCTAAAATCCATGACATAACTTCCTCTGTTTCATGCAAGAAGTGGACTCTTTTCTGAGTAAAGAGAAGCATGCGGCCTTTCTCTGCTGATTTGGAAAGCAGCAATTCCCATAACTTGATGAGTGAGTCAAGACGTTCCTGTTGAAGAAATGATCATTTGAGGATGTGTTGAGTATTTGTTTCTAATTTAGTAGAAGAAAAAAATTATCATTGAAAGCCTATTAAAATTCTCATATAAACTTGTTACAGTCAAGTTCATTTTATTATTGTTATTTACTTTGTTGCACAATTCCCTTTCAGTTGTTAACATTTTACATGCTTTCATTTCAAATGTAAATTGAAATGAAATCAAGGGTAAATTCTGATCATTTACAAATATATATTTGTTAACTTTCATACACTTCTCGCCTTATAACCTTGTTAGTTTTGTTCCCATGTTTTGGCAAAGGCAAGTTTCATTTCCCTTCTTTAAAGACTTTTTGATTCTCTACTCTCCCTTTTAATCTCACAGTTTGTATAAGTTACACAATTTGCATGAACCTCCTTCCTGGGAAATGCAATGCTTTCAAATAGAAAAACTGTGGGTTTGCCCTCATCTCTGCAAGCTGTGTTTTATATCTTAAGTGAAATCAAAATGCATGGATATCTTTTGCATGTAGTATTTAGGAACAAAATAAAGGCACTAATTGAAACTCACCCTGATAAGTTCAGAGGCATAGTGAGACTCACTGATCATGCCTTCACCATTTTCTTGGAGTTCAATAATGGCATTGCTGTGAGCTGAAATCTCTGCTTCAAACGCCTGATGTTTCTGGAGTTTACCCTGGACAACACAAAGATGACAATTGCACAGTTAAAACCAAAACATTTTGCAGATTGTTTCCCAAGCTACTCGTATTTTGCATCCAAAATAAGGTTTGTATGCTACATTGAGGTGAAAATGTGTCATTAACACTAAGGTAATTTTAGCCTTTTATAGTTTGGTAATGTTCTCGAATCATAAAAATTTTTCAGTTCATAAAAATTGGATGGATATGTATATTAAAAACATTTTTTAAAAGCATTGATGTTGAGGTTGTTGAAGTTTTAGAGGTATTTCCTCATTTCCCAGACTATTCTAGAACAAAGCCATAGTCCCAAATACAATCTGTTGTTTTTGCCATTGTTTCCTTAATCAAAGAACAGTAAATATAATGAAATATAGAGCTATATGGAAATCTTGCAAAATTTTGCTACATTCAGACCAGGTGGAAGCTAAAAAAACTTACTAATAATTCACTTATATAATATATTAGTTTCAACTCTGATCAGAGATAAAACAAATGTTGTATTATCAACAAAAGTTTGGGCTAAACTTCAGAATACCCCGCAACTCTGGTCCGCCTCACTTACATGTGTAGGGAGGCTTTGAAGATCAAGGCATAACACAATAGACGCTATTCTTATTCAATGACATGTAAATGAGTTGCGGGGTATTCTGAAGTTGCTCCAAAGTTTGCTCTGGGCATTGGCAAACAAGATCAAACTTTGAATCCATGAGAGCAGATAAAGCATCCTTGTATGGATCATACTTTGCACTTTCTCCATTTAGTTTGGAAGTTAACAAAACTTACAAGCAATTTATTCATATAACTGATTTGTTTCAACTCCAAAGAGATATGGGCTGGTGCAAACAAAATTTTGCTGTTCTTTTCTCATGGCTAAATGATCAATGATGATGAATTGTATACCCCATATCAAAGTATTGGGCATTGAAACCATACACACTTGATTAGGTCAACTCATATATTGCTAGTAAGAGAGAGTAAGAGGGGAGATGATTCTTGCAGCACTCTTCAAGTTCCCTGCTTATCATTACTTTTTTATTCAAAATCTGAATTAATGCATTGTGTACGTAGTAATTCACAAAATCTGTTCGTTTCAACATTAGATGCAGATTAGCAAAACAACTTTCCGACTCAAAACGTTGCGACTTACACGAATTACTCAATCTAAGAAACCAGATGATAAAGCACGATTGAGTTGATCACGCCACTCAGCGAAGATTAATTAATCAGAGTTTCTGGCGCTTTCTAGTAACCAGCTGCTCTATTCGAACGTGGTGCGTGCTTTGAATAATTTGCATAGTATATATGGTTGCACTTTGCTGAGATCAGACCAGAGTTCACATAATAATTCTTGTGGCACTTTCCTTTAGATGATTTCGCACTCGATAATCTCATATCCCATCGCGCCATGGAAGAGTGATCGCGAATTTCCAAATTTGATCAATCAAACTGCTGTATGGCGTCTAAGTAATGTCTGGTCACGCACATGAATTCCAGCGTGATATTTTGTGACACAAACTGTTGTGAAAACTATTTCTCCATAAGATCTACACACAAGGAACATTTTATCAAAAAAAGGTCAGAAAATATGTAAAACCCGATCTTTTACTCACAATCTGCATCAAACCAAGTAAAATCAAGCGAATAAATTTTGTATTCTCGACAAAGGTTTGCTTGGGGCGTTGTCGAAGGAGAGCAAGCTTTGAATCCTAAATGGCAAATAAAGCACTAAAGTATTGACCATAGTAGTCACTTAATCCTTTCAAAACCTACCTGAAGGTTGGTTGGATCTCTGTAGTTTTCGTCGCAAGCGATCTGAAGTTTCTCATTGATCCAAGCTTCCACTTCATCAGCATCACGTTTGAATTGATGGTAGCGCTTGGCATCTTCCAAGCGCTGGCGCCGAACCCGAGTTGCTTCTTTGAACTCTGCATAGCGCCGCAAAACCTGTTCACGACGGTTTTGAATATCTTCGACGGTTTCTAGAATAGCAATTTGACGAGAATCTACCTCAGCCATTCTGAATATTTCTTCACCACAAGACTAGACGGCAAAACACACAGGGTTTGTGAACGAATCGCCTGTAGTCTCCTCGGAATCGCCCCAATAAAGCGTTTAGTCACGTGATACAACGAATCCCAAAGGAGAGGAGAGTAGAGGAGGACGAAAGTCATTATTGAAAAAAAGAGCGGAACATTGCATGCATTTCTTCAAAAGCAGTATCTTAAATTTCTAAATAAGAATTAATTATTAGATATAAGCATCACAAAAACCAATTTTACTTGAAATAACAAGAGTTTTTAATAACTACTTTTCCTCCCTACCCCTGTCAAAAGAAGACGGAAGGAGGTCAAGTCGCCTCGTTCGCATGCTCGCATGGTCCCGGCAAAATGTCGGCCGCTCAGTTCAAGAACTTTCTCTACGCCTTTTGTGGAAAACGCAAAACCAGACCTGTCTACACAGAAAGACCTTCTACTCAAGGAACTTTCAAATTCCAGGTAAACGTCCAGCGAACGTTGAATTTGCTAGCTTTCTTGAAGCTTTTTTTCCTTTAAAAACATACTGCACATGTTAAATTTGGCCACCTGTGAGGTGCATATGAAAAGAAGAGCTGTTTTCCTGAAGTTTCACTAAACTCGATCGCTCCGATAATTAAACTGCAGGTTCAAATAGATGGATTTGATTATGTGGGCCTTGGAAGTGCTACCAGCAAAAAAGATGCTGAAACTAATGCTGCTAAGGATTTCTGTGGTTTCCTGATCGGAGCTGGAATTATTCCTCCAGATTCATTTCCAGATGATTTATTTGTGAGTTGTATGGTGTATCATAATTTATTTCATCATTATTAGTAAGTGTTATTAATTAACACTGCACATTAACATGTGGACTTCTTTTAATGAAGACGTCTACTGCATATGTTGGATTGATGTTCAGTTGTCAGGAAAAAAGTTTCTTGGATATTTTTTGATAGATGTTGTAAACCTCGATTTCCCCACAGAGAAAACCTGCACTGTTGCTAGTTCTATACCGGGATGACTTCTTCCATTTAAATAATTTGTCTGCTTTCTCCTTGTCCCATGTCTACCCTGACAATCATCATGATATGCCATCTTTGCCAGAGGAAAATTATAGCAGAGCTCGCAGAGTGTAGCCCCATAATTATACAAAATCGTAGTAACCCATCAAGCCGAAAAAATTTGGATGTACAACCATACAAGGAGCTACTTTTAACATGCTTGGTCAAATGCACCGCGGGCACGCCAATGCCACAGCTTTGTTCAGTAGTCCAGTGGTCAGTGCACTGGGCTCCGAGTTGGATGACCTGGGTTCTAGTCCTGGCTGGGGCAAGGCATTGTGCCCTTGACACGTGCAGGAAAAAAAATGCGAGCTCCGCTTTTAGGCTTGGCTAACTCTATATATTACAGCCTACACCACTGATTGCAATCCAGTGGACCGTGGCCACCGAAAAAGTGGTTCTTTGTTTTCATGATACCATTGCAATATTTTGTACCAGAATATTTTTATTTGCTACCATACAGTGACCAGTTGTGAACTTATGCCAATGATTTCTTTACTTTACCCTTTGATAAATTTTGTTGGTATCACATAAACAAACTCAGGGTTGTTAAAGGAAACTAGTTTGAACCCAGGAATTTAAAAGTTGCCCTGGTATAACATACACACCCCCTAAAGGAATATCTACTTATTGACTGAGTAGGAGGGCCATATGGGTCATATGATAACAGGTGATTGTTGAAATATGTGACTGTCAACGGTTTTTCTTTTGTTGCTGAAGCAAGAATAAGGCTCACATGAGATACCTCCAAGATTAACAGGTAAGGTGATTTTTGTTCAAAACAGGGAGAAGGACCTACATCATCATCAGCTTCCATGCCATCTCAACAGCAGCTTCCATCGTCTGCAGCACCAGCTCCTCCGATGCAGCTAATGCAAAATCAAAACCAACAATCAGGACCAACACAGGGGAAGTCTTTTCCATCGCAACCACCACTTCTTATGATGCAGCAAGGTCTGTGGTTCATTTATGAACTGGTTTAATCCACTGTTTGTGCGTAGTTAATTTTAATTCTCCAGTGGGACTGTAACAACTCTGTCACCTTAACAACACCATTTTTTTCAACATTTTGGAAAGCTTTAGGGAGACAATTGTGAACTCTTTTATTTGATACTGACAGGTGAATCATTCACTGTCTAATCATGATAAGATTCAGAAGAAACAAGCAACCCCAGAACCACAAACTTATCACAATTTTTGTTTGCAGTACAGTTTTCTCATTAGAAGGAGAACATTCTGCATGAAGTTTTTATTTCTGATCAATTTTCAGGCTTATGTAAGCTTTTTTTTAAGTCTTTACTACATCCATTTTGAAATCACTGGTGGTCCCTGTTATCTGATTGGCTCTAGATGGTGCAATTCATTCATGAATTGCACCATTTTTTGCTTTAAACCGCCTCCTCTTCCAAGCCAATGAGCAGGCCACATTAAAAACAAAACAACCCATCAGATTTTGAGGCTTGTTTAAAGTAACCAATCAAATTGCAGGAAAATGAAAGACAAAGAGTATCATGTGGCAAATTTTGCAACTTTTGTTTCCAAAACTCCAATTTTTTTCCCCCCAAAAATGGATGAATTTAATTTCAAACCAGTTCAGTACTGCATCAATAAAATATTTGAACTGACCAAGTCCTGTATTTGGGTGATTTCAAAATGGATGTAATAAAGTGGTAATTGAACCTTGTGTTGTGCAATTTTGGTATGAAATCATACTTGTGATTTCAAATTGAACTCCCACTGCATGCTCATTCGATTTTGAAATCATGCATATGATTTCAGCCCAAATTGCACTCCGCCCTGTTCAATTACCATTATAAATCAAAAAAATTGACAATATAATGGTGAAAACCAGAATAATTTTTTTGCTGTCATACAGTGACCAGTTGTGAACTTGTTCTAATGATTTTTTTCACTTAAGAAATGATGTATTTAGAAATGCTGGCAATTTGATAAAATACCCCTTACCTTATTCAATATTATATAATCACAGAAAACAAAGTACATATAGTACAGAGGAAGCAGAGGTGAAAAAGGTTCTAGGAATAAAATTTGTATGCTCCTTTAGAGTGTTAAGTTTCAGTGATAGAAAGTCAACAATTTTGTCACTGATTGTTAGTTGGTAGGGAAATTAGACTTAAAAATTTTAATGGTGCAGCTGATTTGTTTTTCTGTGCAGGTGGAACAGCACCTGGTACAAGTCAAATGGATAGTTGGAGTGGAGCTGGCCAAAGAGATTACCATTATAGCCTGTACAATAAAAGAAAGTTTGAAGAGGTTTGTATCTGTTAAGTCTACTGACTAAGACTTGAGACGTGGGTGGAATTAAGCTTTGAGTGACTTTTGATGCAACAATTACTTCTCCCTCAGCTGTTTAATAAG